TCCAGGTGTTTAAATTTCCCCCAAAAGTCCAAAAACATGCAGTATAGGTGAATTGGGTACGCTAGAATTGTCCGTATAGTGTATGTGTGTGAAAGAGAGTGTAAGGATGTTTCCCAGCGATGGGTTGCAGGTGGAAGGGCATCCGCTGCGTAAAACATATGCTGGATAAGTTGGCGGTTCATTCCACTGTGGCGACCCCAGATTAATGAAGGGACTAAGCTGAAAAGGAAATGAATGAATGTATTACTTTAATTTGATGTGTTGATGGTGATATTGATAGTGATAGTGTTTGATGAATGACACTGGACACTTTATATATACCTACAAAGGTGGGCCTATGATAACATTGGTGTATAATGCTAAAAAAAATTATGAAATACCGTAGTTTACTGCAAAATATTTTATTTACAACACAGCTTACAAGCTGTGGCAACCACAGTTTACAGATACAGTTTTTTTATTGTAAATTTAGATTTTATTTATGGTTTTGTGGCTTTAAAAAATGCTGATGTCAGAGGTCAGTGGAGAATGGCCAGACTGTCTTTTTATTAAATCTATAGTCTATTTCACAGGAAGACTACAGTAACTTTACATCACATTTAAACTAGAAGAGCATCTCTGAACACACAACTTGTTCTACCTTAGCAGATGAGCTACAGCAGCACACTTGAAGAATCACACTGGTGCCAGAGTCTCAGCTACAGGAAACTGATGCAACTATTTAAACGGACTCACTAAAATTGAAAAACTGGAGAGTGGATCTGAAGAATCTTAATTTTGGCAGTTATGTTTGAATGGTAGGGTCAGAATTTGGGGTAAACATCAGGCTTTGAATCAACAGCTCAGGCTAGTGGTGGTGGTGTCATGGTATGAGAGATTGTTTTGTTTAGTTTTTTTTGTCTCTTAAAGAGATAGTTCACTCCAAAATAAAAATGTCCACACCATTTACTCACACTCAGATGGTTCTAAACTTCTATCAGTTTTTCTTTTGTTGAAGAGTAGAAACTCAAACAGGTTTTGAACAAGTGAAAGCTGCAAATGACAGAGTTGTCATTATTGGGCCAACTATTCCTTTAAGTCTAATTAATCATTGTTTAAATGCCACAATCTACCAAGTACTGTTGGAGTCTACCTTTTAAGCAGTGTTCCATCTTGTGAAGGCTACTTTTTTTGTGGGAAAAGCATCAATAAACAAGTCTCAAACTGGTTTCTTTAAGATCAAAAGGAGTTCGTTTACTAAGCTAAAATGTCTTTCACATATGTCCAAAAGAGCATCTAGAGATTCACAACATGTATTTAGCAGATAAACAATTAAAATACTGTGATTCTGTAATGTCAATATGGACCAATATTTTGGAGAAATTTCTCTAGCACCACTCTAGCATCTCTGTCAAAAAAATTGAAGTCAAAAATAAAATAATAAAAAAACTGAAACTATGTTTACCAATCTGTTAACGAAACTGTCAGAATAACAAATGTGTCAATAAAACACATGTATGGGCAAAGCAGACATATTCGCTGATAATGTCAATCCCATAATGGACAAATATTAGTTGATGAATCACCCTGGCCAACTTCTTTTTTTTTTTTTTTTTTGCCATAAAGAATATTTAATTCATGTGTAAATGCTAAACTGAGAGCAGAGTCAAACTGATTTACTGTCAATTTAAATGGATAGTTCAGCCGAAAAAAAGTGAAAATTACCTTACTATTTACTCTCTTAAGCCGTATTGAAGAGTATTTTTCAGCTGAACACATAAAAAAAAGAAGATATTTTGCAAAATGCTGCTTGTGTAACCCTGCTGGTCCAACACCACCCAACCCGCTGGAATCGAACCAGTGACTTTCCGCATGGTAGTCGGTTGCTCTACCAAGAAGGCTAAACACCATGGCCTCTAGCATCTGTAGCTAAAGTACCTATTTTTAGAGGTCAGAAGAGTGAGATGTACCTCCATAGCAATTAATTAGCTAGCCTCTGCTACACTCACCACCCCAAACCTAACTCCCAGCCAGGGTCACGGCACCAATGTAACTCCAATGGTGCTACAAAACCTAACTCGCTCTGAGCTGGGATCGAACCAGCGACTTTACGCATGGGAGTCGGTTGCTTTTTTAGAGGTCAAAAGAGTGAGGTTTACCTGTATAGAACTTGACTAGCTGGCCTCTGCTACACTGACCCACCTAAACCTCACTCCCATTCGGGTCACGGCACCAATTAAACATCGCACCACATAACCCGCTCTGACTTTCCACATGGGAGTCGGTTGCTCTACCAAGGAGGCTAAAGATCATGGCTTCTAGCATCTTTTGCTAGAGCATCTTTATTTGGTACCATTCATGTCCATAAAAAAAAAACAATTACTCAACGAGTGGCCAGCTAACAACATTTTTCAATATATCTTCTATTTTGCTCAACAGAAAAAAGAAACTCAAACAGGTTTGGATTACGCGAAGGACAAGTAAATGATGACAATTGAAATTTGTTGGTGAACTATCTCTCTTTAACATCATCCAATAGACAGTCTTAAAGTTTGAGTAAATATTCTGAATGTACGAAAAATCTAAACCTATAACATCACCCTTAATTTATAGAAAGAAACTTAATCTTCGTATTTTGAGCACTTATTAGCAGCAGTCAGAAACATTCAGCTCCAAAATCACAACAAAAATGAAAAGGAAGCAATATTAAAAAGTAACACATTTCCAGTGAAAACAAAACAAACACAAATGACATTTATTTTATGTATTTAATAATCCTTGTTATTACTGTGAACAGCCAAGAATCGAATGTTCTAAAACTCTTCGTATATAACAGCGAATATGCACTGTACATGAGAAGCTACTAAAATCTACCACTCACCGTGGGCTCTGGTTTTGCGTTCTTAACAGTGAACAGTATCTTAATACGCTTCAAGGAAGGGTAAATGTACAGAACAAGAGGAGAAAACAATTTAAATGACAGAAAATGAAAACCTTTCATTTGGATTTTGTTCATAAATATAACACTGATGGCCTCATCTTGTACGAAGCTCGCCACTGTGTATGGTGATTCAATTTTAGTACATTTAATGTGAACGCTCTTTAAAAAAAACAGTCTTAAAGCATTGATTAAATATGAGGAAAAAGCAAATAATACAAACACTGATGCTTTACAATGAACCATGTTTTCCAGCATAATAAAAATATTGTGAGAAATGAAACAGGATTTAGTAAAAGGACGTTTACTGATTTATATAATCGACGTGTGCAGGTCTTTTGAATCACCAACTGTGACGTACACAAGACCTTTAGTTTCGGAAAAAACACAAACACATCCCTGAGCGTCCAGAATGTGATATGTGAGGTCAGTCGATCATCTAAACTGTTAAAAAAAATAAAATAAAAAAAAGACACCGTTGGTCAGGGAGATCTCGGAGGAAGAGGCGAAAGGTGACGTTCATGCATATATGACTTGTGGCAGGCATATATCAGGCCAAAAACAGACCCGATCATGCATTTGGCTAGAAGGCGAATACCACACTTAACAAAAAATAATCAAAAATAAAAGTAATATATGAAAGGCCCTGAATAAAACATTTAGATTAATGGTGTCTGGGAATACACAGAAGAAAGAATGTTGGTAAATAGTAAGCATGTGACCAAAGGAAATTAGTTTGGATTGTTCATCTATAAAAGGAAAATTTGCAGTGAATTTATACACCCTCAGATGACATTTTATTCTTCAGTAGAACATTAAAGAACACTTAAAAAAAATATTCAAAGATGAACTGGATTTACCCTAATTTAAGTGATTGCAAACTATTTATTTGGACTTAATTTAAACAAATTAAGTTGAAGTCTATTAAATTACTTTTTTTTTTATTCAACACATTTAAATTGGTTGCAACAGTTTCTCAGACATCATGTTTTTCAGTGAAGATTTTAAGCTGAAACTGTGATGATTGGTGATGCATAAAATGCAAGTCGGCCAGCACTGCAAAAATGCTTTTCTTATCGAGACATTTGGATTAGAAACAAGACAAAAAATATGTAAAAATTCTTAAATCAATCAAGCAAAACATGGTCCTGTTTTAAGATGTAATCTGCCAAAATTAAGTCAGTGTTTTGTAAACCCAAGCAAAATAATCTCGTTTTTCCATTCAACATACGATTATTTTGCTTGTTTTAAAGAAAAACTCTTAATTTTAACATATTCTTTCTTAGAACAAGACCCACAGTATGTGTTTTGCTTGTCTAGAAAACTAATCTTGCTTTAAAAATTTTAAGATATTTGGACTAGAAATGAGAAAAGAAAATCTAATTTTGCAGTTTGAGAGCCAAGGAAACACAAAAGAAAATAAAACAAATAAGTTCTGAATCAAAATGGTCAGTCTATGAACAAACATGAACAATTTTAAATATTATTAACTTTAGTCCAAAGTCTAATCTAACAGCTTATGGAGGTCGCAAAATGGTGGTTGTGCTTATACTGAATGTGAAAACTATTTATTTTATTTTTTTTAAAAGGTATCACTTTATTTTGATGGTCTCTTTAACGCATTTTGTTGAATTTAAGTTCCATTGCATCTACATGCTGACTAAATCTCAATAGATTATAAGTAGACTGTTAGGTTGGGGTTAGGGCTAATGTAAGCTGGCATGTACATGCAAAGTTTCTTATAGTCAGTTAAATGTCTGTTGAAGGAGCAGTATCAACAAATATTAAGCAGACAGTCTACTAATACTCAAACGGACCATCAAAATAAAGTGTTACCCTTTTTAAAATCCTCAATTGATTTTCTATTGAAGTGGCATACATCTTAAGCTGAGGGTAAGTAAATTAAACACAATTTTAATTTAAGGGTGAACTATCACTTTAAGAAAGGCCCAAAAAAAAAACTAACAATATCAATTCCCAAAGGATTCAAGCCATTTTTTCTACAGTGTGAAGAAGGTTATCTGGTGTTTGGCACATGCTGTAACAAAAACAGGTTAGTACTACACACATAAAGTAACAGCTATTCCATTTTCGCCTCCCTTATCTGGAGGCATCAAACCGTTATTTATTCATTTATCAAATTAATATTATTACTGCACACCAGCCAGTGCTGGAGTGTGAAAGATTTATCATACGGAATCAGTTCCCTGAACCATCAACACATTACAAACCTAAAACTCATGTCTTCAGTCGAAGCAGATGAAGAGAATTTAAAACCAAGAAAACAAGCTACGTAATATATAAAAGGCACACACAGAAGGAAAGTGGATCTCAAAAAAAAAAAAAAAAAGGCATCATGCTTTGAAAAGATGAATTAATAAAGTAATATTAGGATATCAAAAGAAAATGTTGTATAAAATGTACAAGAAAGCTGAGATGAAGGGTTAGACCACATCCGAAATCACCCCAAAAAATCGTAGAAATTTAGAAAACATCGACCCAGCGGGGAAACCCAGATCGTTCGAGAACCTTCTCCTGACCAAACAAACAAACAATACGGTGAGTAGGAGAGAGAGCAAATAGACACAAAATACTTTCTGTGAACGTCTCCCGGCTGCTCTCTGGTTTTAGTGTCTGGTGTGGTTTGTATGCAGCGCTAAACGCAGGTTTCAGGAGCGGGTTTTGATCGCGTACCGTTTACTGCCGCCGCTCGTGGCGTTTTTTTGTGAAGTTGGAACAGGGCTGTAAGTTTATTGCGAGATGCACTCGGCAGTCTTGCGCGTGGAGGCAGGGCTGTAAAATGAGCGGGTCATGCGGGAGCCGTGGGGTCACCAGTAAAACGAGCGGGACAGGAAGTTAGCGGCCGTGTTTAGCCAGCTCACGCCATCCTGAACAGAGCCCAGGCGCGTCACTGCCTTGTGCTGCTCCTGAGACGGGCTCTCATCCTCCGGCAGATAATCCGGCAAATTCAGATTCTGCTCCACAACCACGTCCGAGTCTTCCTGGAATGGGATTACAAGCTGGAAGAAGGAAAGAGAATGATGGGAACAATGAGGCATATTATTTCAATATAAATATATAGAGAACATTATATATATATATATATATATATATAAATAAAATTATTATTTAGTACGTATAAATATAATGTATGAAAAAAGCAAGCTAACCATCTGAATAAACATGATATGATGTTAAAAAGTTCAAATCTCAATTATTTTGAAGGTAAAAGATTAAAATAAAACTAAAAGGAAATTGAGATACAATAAAGAATGCATACACAATGTTTTGGGCAAAGGGATTACCAGGGATCATTAAAATGTTGAAAGGTCTGATATATCTGGTTCTGGCTTCGTATAGGTGCTGACATGGAGGGTGGAAAACTGTATAATATGCTGGATTGTCTTTGCTAGATTTCAGCATGACTGCATAGTTGAGAGCCAGTTTCAATCTTCTGTTTTAAAGTGACATTTCTCCAGCTACAACAGTGATAAGAGTCCACTCTTATTACCTTCACACATTCGGTGTATTGGTTTGAAACTATGATTCAATTTTTTTGCAGCATCACAAAAATAGACACTTTAATGCATTAAATATCAGTTATAGAATTTAAAAAAAAAACATAAAAAGATCTGAAAAACACAAAGTATTAAAATAAACAAATAAAGGTCATTGTTATTATTATTAATATTAATTATTATAACAACAACAAATCAGTTTAATTGAAAAATAAAAAATACTATTAACCTTTAATTCCTATTCATTTAGATTTAACATTTTGTTCTTAATGAAAATAATTTTGTATTATTGTTGATTATCATTATTGTTATTTATTTATTAGGTTCTATTTTAAATAGTAGTAGTAATTATAATATTAATAATAATGAAGTTATTATTGTTGTTGATTTTCATTATAAAAATTATTATTATTATTATTAAGTTCTATATTAAATAGAAATAATTAAGTTATTCATCGTGCACCAATTGTTTTTGTTTGAAACTTAATAAAATATTTAACATTTCATTAACATGTTTACAAAAATATTGTCCAATAAAAATACATTTCCATAATTATTTTTGTTTTTAATAACAATAATACCTTTTCTGCTTTTATAGTTAAATACTTGTGTAATTTTTTTAATTTAACATTTTATTAAAATGTTTTAGTATAAAAAGATGACCAGATAATAAAAACAATTACATTTTTTTTAATTGTGATTAATCTTCCACTCATTTACAGAAAAAAAAACAAGTTTAGTGTGAAATGTCATCATTTCTAGTTCTTCCATTCAGCACGTTAATTCTTAGTCAATTGTGCCACCTGCTGGTCAATAATGAAAGTGTATGATGAAGAGGTTTCCAAAGGTGCTGTTCTGCAGCCACTACAGGTCACAACTGCACTGCTGCAGGTACAGATCGCCCTTCCAATTCAACTAGAGAGGACACATCTCTCCTCAATTACCAGACTCTGTGCATGTACGTGCGTGCAAGGCCCTTTGACTTTTTCAGAGGCAAGGTGACATCCTAAATGATCATGTGATGAGGGGAATAAGAGTAACTCTTAGCAGGGTTTAGCCATCAGACAGACAGAATCATATCCAACATCGTCAGCTACAGGAAGTGCAGTTTGAGTCAAATGGATAACTAATCTACACTGAACAGTGTATCTTTCTTGTGTGTGTGTTTGGTTATGGTCAGTGTTTGTTTGTTTGACTGACCTCTGCTCCATCTTCCCCTTTCACAACCTGCTGTGCCTTCATGACTTTGGTTGAAGCTATAGCAGTTCCCAAGGCCTAAAGAAAAGAAAATATAAAGAAAAAACAAATGAGGAAAAGGAGTTTCTGATTTTAAAGCTTTAAAGCTAGCATGTTTAGAAATGTGTAGAAAAAAATATCTTTCCTTTAAACAGAAATTGGGGAAAAAATACTTAAAATTGAAATTTACCAAGAGGGCGAACACATTTTATGTTCATTCTTATATAAATCATTATTTGAAATGTAAAAATGGTTTAAATAAAATAAAATAGATGATTATAATGAAATCAATTTTTAATTCTCAGATTTGTTCTTCTAAATGGACAGTGTTCGATTGGGAACTGACCTCTGCCTTCAGGTCTGAGCGGATTCTGACCACGCATCTCTTCACGGCCATCTGAAAGGTAAAACTGATGACTCCTTTAATCTTCAGCAGAGCCTCCTCACAAAGACTCCTCCGAGACTGACAAAGAAAACCCAGAGATAGAAGTCACATTGAGCCAAAACCAAATCTCTTAACGCTCCATTACAAAGCAATTGTCTGTGCTTACCGAATCATCAAGCCCATCAATCTGAAGCACCACAGTTTTGGCCCGTTTGTTGGTTGCGCCCAGGAAGAACTGGGCTTTTCTTCTACAGGAGGCTCCGGCTTCTGCCTGTTCAGCCTCTGCACTGCTGGAGTTCTGCAGGATCTCGTAGATCTCAGAGGCCAGCAGCTTGGTTTCTCCTGGAGACGTGCCTCTGTACAAATACATCACAAACATTAGCCTTCATACACTTCAGTTGTGATGTATGGAAGAGTGTTTTCAGGTTCAAACCTCTACTTATTTGAATTGAGAAATAACTCCGTAGCCGTTTATGATCACTGTTAAGTGACACCACATATTTATTCAAACTGTCAGTATCGGTGAAATGGTTCAAATATTTCAACTTATTTTATAATGATTCTAAAAATGTTCTCAGATGCCAAACAAAGCATTTAAATGTTTACATTGATTATTTTTATTTTTTACATCTTAAAAATAAACATTACAAAACGTAAGTTTGCAATCTTTCTCACGTTTGCAGATCCAGTATGAGAAGGAGCCGCTATGTCAAGCCTGATGTTGATAGCCAGGAAAAGTGCACATTTGCAGCATTTGTTAACAGACCACGGGATCAATCACAGAATCATTGATGCAAGTATAGAGAAAACCCGATGCGAGCCCATCGAGTAACTAGTTGAAAAACAACTCTCTCGCCCACCAATCTGGGAACTCCCCTGCTGAAAAATCCAGCTTAAACCAGCCTAGGCTGGTTGGCTGGTTTTAAAAGGGTTTTGGCCATTTCCAGGCTGGTTTCCAGCCATTGGTCTTAGCTGGTCAGGCTGGAAAATGGCCAGCTAAATCCAGCTAAAACCAGCTTGACCACCCTGGTTTAAGCTGGACATAGCTGATTTTGACTGGGCTACCAGCCTGGCTAGGCTGGTCAAGCTGGTTTTAGCTGGTCATCTCCCAGCCTGACCAGCTAAGACCAGGCTGGAAATGACTGGAAACCAGCCTGGAAATGTCCAAAACCCCTCTAAAACCAGCCTGGTCGACCAGCTAAAACCAGCCAACCAGCCTAGGCTGGTTTAAGCTGTTTTTTTCAGTAGGGTCCCATTACTTTCATTCAGAAAATTAACAGAAACATATGAAGCGAGTCATATTAACCAATTAAATCGTTAACTTTTTCTTAAATGTGACCAACTCATACTACTAATGAATTTATTGTGAAGATTATATCAAGCACTTACTCAATAATGCAGATGTATTTTATCTAATTAGTTTATTTTATCAAGTTTATTTAATCTTCATCTATATGATCGTTTATACATCGTTTTCATTTAAGATATTTTATTTCTGATTGAGTCTATTTGATCTATTATAATTTGTATAATTATAATTTAATTTGGTTTCATTATCAAAATAAATAAATAAAAACTTTATAAACATATGATTAGATATTTAATAACAAAAATATAAAATTGTTGGCATTTTCTAGTTTTTTTTTTGCAATATCTTGTTTGAATTTAAATGTATTATTTTTCTATACCTAAAGATGTCTGGTGAATGAAGACTTATTTTAATGAATGGAACTGTTAAATAAAACCCTTTTGTTTAAAATGCACCAAAAAATATTGTCTATATACACTGTATGTGGAAATTATTCTTAACGCTTCACTTTTTCCACATTTTTTATGTTACAGCCTTATTTAAAAAATGATTAAATTAATTTATTTCCTCAAAATTCTACACACAATACCCCATAATGACAATGAGAAAAAAAATACTTTTTGAAATTGTTGTAAATTTATTGGAGAAAAAAAAACAAACAAAAAAAAAAAAAAATCACATGTATATCAGTATTCACAGCCTTTGCCATGAAACTCTAAATTAAGCTCAGGTACATTCCGTTTCCACTGATAACCCGATGGTCACTCTGTCTGAGCTCCAGCATTCTTCTGTGGAAAGAAGTGGACGTTACAGAAGGACATCCATCTGTACGTAAATGACCTGTATGGTAGAGTGGCCAGACAGAAGGCACTTCCCACCTGGAATTTGCCAAAAGGCATCTGAAGGGCTTTCAGACCATAAGAAACAAAATTCTCTGGTCTAATAAAACTAAAATTTAACTCTTTGGAGTGAATGCCTGGCGTTACATTTAGAGAAAACCAGGCACCCCTTATCACCAGGCTAATACCATCCCTACAGTGAAGCATGGTGGTGGCAGCATCATGCAATGGGGATGTTTTTCAGCTGAAGGAACTGGAAGACTAGTCAGGATAGAGCGAAAGATGAATGCAGGGATCTACAGAGACATCCTGAATGAAAACCTGCTTCAGATTGCTCTTGGAGCAGGCTAGTTGCAAAGTATAAATCTTCATAGTAAATTAATTTAGCGTAATTTAGCCTGCTTTCATGCAATTGAGTCAAGGCTAAATTCAGCCAGGATAGCCTTAAAATCCCAACTTAATCCCTTATCTTACTTTTGTGTGTGTGATATGGAGTTTATTGATTAAATTTTTATACTGATAAAACGCATACATACACATACTGTATACATACACCCATATACATAATCCTTCATGCTTAGTCCCTGATTTATTAGGGGTCCCCACAGCAGAATGAACCACCAATTACCTTTCCAGCCGCACACATATAAATATATAATTAAATCATCAATCCTAAATAAATTCCTATATAAATCAATCGTATGGCTTATTATGACAATTAAGCACCAATGTTTTTACAACTGATGAAAGATGAACCGCTGTCTATCTGTCCATCCGAGATTAGACATGGATATAAACATCCCTATCGTGATTTTCAACAGTACCACAGCACACTGAGTGTACATTACTACCATTTAGTTGTTCTCTTTTAATATCCGATAGAGGGTTTTGAACCAGAAACTGAGTTTATTAAATGGCCACAGTTGATGAACAAAAAAAAAATTATTGAGCAAACTATGCTCATCTAAAAGAGCATGTATTGTGCATTTCAGTGCTTGTCAGTGCTGATACGTGAAAAGGTCAGCACTCCAGAAGACACGGAGATATGAGACGGAGGGCAATCTGACAGCATGAGGTCGCAGAAAAGTCAGCCTGATGGAGCTTGAACCAACTAACCTTTAATACTGCTACAATACTCTAATTCATCTAAAGCTGTGCGATTAGTATGGCTTAACATGGCGATTATGCATAAATCGAGTCTGGAAATTAAAAGATTTCTGGAGGAACATGCAAATGAAAATGTACAATTTCTAATCATACATTATCAGAGGCATTACAGATGCAAATGTGACGCACTAAACATCTGCAGACAAGTTAAATGGCACATTTTTAATGCAAGACCACACAAATTAATTAAAACAAATGAATCTGAAGCTGCTATGAGAGAAACACAAGTCAATTTGTGAACAAGAACTGAAAAACGATAACTTTATACATCCAAAAATATATATTTAAAGCTTTTTGGTGCTGCAAATTTACTCCAGTTTTACTCAGGAGAAGGTGGTTGAGCTTCACAAAATAAAGAGTGGCTATAAGAAAAAATGCAAAAACACTGAAAATGTCCACCATCAGAGCAATAATTTCTGACCCAACTGTGTTTTAAATCAGAAGAATGTGTTTCCAACTACTGCAGTGGGCAGTAGTCTGTTTTGTCATTTCACAGAGGAACCAGAACTAGAATAAAGCCAGGTTTATGTTCTATTATCTCAGCACTCTCACCAGAGAGGGATTTACTCATCCAAATACAGTAAAGCTGCAACCTACTCAGTAGGTACTGCATTTGAATTTAAATGTACTTCTCGGCTGTTAGAAAAAGTACGTTCTATACAGTATAAATGTCAGTAGTATAAATAGTATGAATAGTTGCTTCACTCCTATTTATGACTTCTCTCGCTGTGTATCATGGGATAGTGTAGCGTTCATCCAATGCACACTTCAGAATCTCGCTGGAAGTAGTAGGTCATCCGTTTACACATTCTGTTTTTCGAATTTTATGAATTCAAACATACTACTTGACTTGCATACTGTTTGAGCATGCTATATAGTATGGAATAGTATGCAATTTCGGACACAGCATATGTTTGATAATCTGATAATCCATATTGTTTGCAAATATTTTTGAAATACAACAAAATGACTGCTGGCTTATTTGTGTTCCCACTTGACTTTCGTTTTTCTCTTGCCAATGCTAATTCTACATGACAATTCAGAAACTCCCTCAAACTTGAACACTATGAGAAGTGTTGTGTAAAACACACCAAACAAACTAGCCTGACAGCCCAATGGCTGACCGTCAGATTGGTGTGTCTTGGCCTTAAAGAGATGGTTCACCCAAAAATTAAATCTCGGTCTTCATGTCCGTTCACTTTCTCAAAACCTGTTTGAGTTTCTTTCTTCTGTTGAATGAAAAATGCTGGTTGATGGTACCCATTGACCCCCATAGTAGGAGAAAACTACAATGGAAGTCAATTAGTTCCATCAACCAGCATTTTTCTAAATAACTACTTCTGTGTTCTATAGACCTTTTTCTTAGATCGAAAAATTACCCATTATGCTTTGCGCGCAAGGAGAATGCTAAGAACTTCCGGTCGGCAGCTGATGCGTATAAATGGTCACATATGGACATTTTTGAAACGATAGTTTTAATCTATTTTACCTGCTTTTATCATCTCTGAACTAATACAGTTGTTGATCTGCACCACCTCTTGGACTGATTATTAAAAAAATGTGATCTAATAGGACTGAAATCAACTGCTGTGAGGCATTTTCCCCTCGTTGTTGGACGGCATCTTAATCTGTTTAAATGAAGCCTCGTCATCGCTAAAGTCAACAGTTTCTCTTTCTTTCAAATATATAACCAACCCAAACAAATGTACTTCACCAAAATGTATGGCACACAGACACGCGTAGCCTGTACTGTCCCACTGACACACTGATTTAATAACTGTGACAAAGTGAAATTAAGGTGACAACTTGAAATGACAGAAAAACACAAGCCCTGGTAAATCCTGCACACTAAATGAAACATAAACGGCTTGCGATTAGATTGAACAGCAAATCAGCCAGCAGAGTATCAATAACAGACTTGTATTGGTCATTTTTGCATGACATACCTGTTAAGTTTCATGCCAGTAATCTAGGGCCTCATGTATCAACGCTGTGTATACACAAAAACTTTGCGTGCACCAGGTTTTACGCTCATGTTTGGATTTTATCAACGATGAAATAAACATGGGAATGTGCGTTGGTCCACGCCAACTTCATGCCTGGCGTACATGCATTTCTTGTGTGTGTCTGTTTTACTTCCATTGACGTTAAAATGCACACTACAACGTGTCTTTGAGCCATGCAATGGCAGCTGTAAGAGACGGGTTCATCCGCATGTCTAGCAGGTATACAAGGTTTCCATACCATGCAGTTGACCAGCCAAACATTAAAGCGCAATTTGCAGCGGTCGCCGGTATGCCCAATGTAATCGGAGCAATCTACTGCACACACATTGCTATAAAGGCACCATCTGAAGATGAATTTGCATACGTGAATCAGAAACATTTCCATTCAATGAATGTGCAAATAAAATAAGATGCACAGACTTATTAATGATTCCTTCTTGTCTTCCTCGTGTTGAAGAGTAGGCAAAATCTGATATGTAGCGGGGGAAAAAAGAAGAATGAGTTAATCAGACGCTGGATTCGAACCGAGTTCATGCTTGAACGTGTCAGAACATATTGCCATTCATTTTACGAGCTACGCCACTCACGCTGTTAAAGGCACTACAAAATGTTACACCTTTACATCGCACTATTTCTTTTTGAATCCACTTAGTGTGATGTTAAGACCCAACTGTGTCATCAGCTAAACTCTCCCACCTTTTGTTATAAATTCCGGAGAACAAACTTGCAAATTACACCGTTTTTCTCCGGTCTACCTCCGAAAGCAGCACCTCCAATTCACATTCTGTTCAAAGTTTGCTTGCTTTCGCCATTGCTTTTTTATTGGGTTGCCAAATTAGAGTCATTAGCATATTCATATGGGGGAGGAGGCAGGGAGGGGTTTTGCACTCGTGCATGTTGTCCTCAGTTTCATGTTCATTCGGATTTACAAAGAGAATTTACGTTTGATTCGGCGTACGCAGTGCTTCATACATCTGAATTTTTTTACTGCGTACGCACATTTATAGCTTTGTAGGTACGCAAAGTTATAATATGATTTCAATGCAAGTCTTCGTACATGAGACCCCTGGTGTGCTCTATGATGCAGTCAAGTATTGCGTGTGTGTGTTGTGAAGAACCGCTAAGCTAACAGGTCAGGCACGCACGCACGCACACACGCACGCACGCACGCACACATGCACGCAAGTTCTGGCGGCAGACACGTGAACAAGGAGAATGTTTTTCTCTCAGGCGTGAACCACATCTGACAGATTAACGGCTTTAACACACATTTTTCAAAGTTGTGTGTCACAAAAACACACGTGATCCATTAAAAACACTATTGTAACCCATTTTTGGAGCGCAAATTACCAGTTGTGAACACTGTTAACGGAAGTTCTTAGCATTCTACCGGAAGACACTATTCGCTATGGCACCCTCCATGCAGCAGCCAAGAAAAAGGTCTATAGAATCTCATAAAGAAGAGTAAATGAAAAGCTAATCGCTTAAAAAACAAAAATCTGCAAAAATAAAAAAAAAATAAAAACTCGAATAATTTTTAAAATAGTTTTAAAGTGAGAAGTTTGAAACTTTGATGTATTTGAACAAACTTTGTATTTGAACAAACTTTTATGTATTTGAAGAATTTTGAGAGGAAAAAGATTTTACCAAGCATTCCATTAATATTGGAGGGCTCTGTATATTAACATACAACTGTATATTAATGTACAACTTCATCAGATCTTTGGGTGAACAAGGGCCTGAAATCTCTTCAATTTGACTTTTAAAAAAAGAGAACAGATTTGTAAACACGTAAGCGAGAGTAAATGACCACAAAATGTTTATTTTTAGGTCAACAAAGCAATTTGTAAGCATTAGCATAGCTTGTTTGTGAGCTCTGCCTTGTCATGAGGGGTGATGAAGGATTCCTTTACTTCCTCCAGCCATAAGATTTCACAGACTGGGGCGATGCACGACCTCTACCCAAAGTCACGGTGCCGCAAATAGTGACGGGCAGCTTGTGGAACTGCAGGGCACTCCTTGATGGCATCTGAGCAAACCAAAGCGACTGGTGAATTGAAGGAGGCGGGCAGAGAGTCGCCCTGAGAGAAGGATACGCTGCTCTCTGCCAACCATTGGCACTTCTGTCGGTGCGGCTCCATGTAAACAGAAGCCACTCGCCGTCTAAAAGCCTGCAGACTTTCGCACTCCAAATAAGGCCGAACTGTGGCAAATATACACACGAACGTGGATCCTGTGCTTCTATACTTAGCCTCTGGGGTGTCAAAAACAAGCAGTTGTATGAATATTTAAAGCATCAGTTTCCATCTACATAAGAGCTGTTTGACATGAGGTAAAAGAAACACTGAGTCTGGAATGTTCTCAGGGATTATCCAACAAGTGCAGGCAAGGAGGATTTCTTTTCTGCACCAAGACAAATGTGCCTTGCCACTATTTATTATAAATTACTCTATTACATGGTGATAGTGATGATGACGACTCTAAAAACACTGTATCAACAGTTATATTTTAAGTAATATTAAATAGTTATATAATAATACTAATGGTGACAATAATAAAAAAGTAATATGAATAGAGTATTTATTGTTTTATTAGCATTATTTAAATAACAGTACATAAATTAAACAGTAATTTAATATTACTTATAATTGTTCTTTAAGAAATTAACTTATAAACATTTATTACTATTTATTATAATTTTTAAATGTATAAGTATTAATTTTTGCTCAGCACCATTAAAAATGTATTAAAATAGACTAACTGAAAAAAAATTAAATATGAAAAAAAAAATGATTACGGTTTTTTGTAGCAAAATGGTAACAATTTTAATAACAAATATTGCAAGTATTTTTTTTTTATTTAATGCCATGTCAGCAACAAAGGCTATTGTCATGGCAAGAACATTTCAATAATAAATATACAATTAAAGTCAACAAACAAATGAATACATAAATTAAATAAATTTTTTAGAGCTGAAACATTTTTCATAGTTTCACTTTGCTAAAAATATCCTTTATTTAAAAAAAAAAAGTCTTTTGGAATAATTAAAAGCAGGACATTCCAGTGAGGGGCCAATCACACCGAATGTGCATTTACGTTCCAAAAACGCGAGTCACACCTCACTGCCTTTTTTTTTCACAAGAACAAAAGCAGCGATGTGTGTTTTTTTAATGTCGCTAGGCAATGACTAGATCAGATGGGTATTGTTTGAGAGTGTTGCTGTTGATACTAATATAATTTTAATAATTAACAATATTGTGATATTCAAGGTTTGCAAAGCCATACAGCTCTGGATGATTCAAAACAGCAACCACAAGTCTCCTCCATCTTCAAACGTATTCGCTGTTGTCTTGACAACACAAACACTGCAGGCACCTCAACGGAAACCCCGGCTCTGCTTTCCTTTGATTGGAGAATGAAAACGATGCAACTAACATAACACACTTTTTCCGCTCAGAGTTGACTTTTTACAACCGCTCTTAACGCAAAAAGCGTGTTCGGTGTGATCGCCCGTAAAATGTGTTTTACTTTGAGAGAAATTGAGCAGTACAAACATTGAGTAAGGTCTTTACCTTTGAGCAAAATAGCATGGGTTAATCTTGTGTCCAATACAACATCTGGTAAAAATCCCCTGATCAAATTTTGTCTTAAAACTCTAGATATCAGGTTGTATTTTATCATTTTCCAATGCATTCCACTCTACTTGCCACTTATTTAAAGTGTAAACATGATAAAAGGTCTCATCTCTGAAGGAGTTTGGCTCATTTTCACCAAATGCTTCAAAGCGTCTAGTAACAAATATTACATTTAATTCAATAAATTTTATTGTAATTCTAGAGGTTTCCCCCCACACTCCAGAGACATGTGCTATAGGTGAAAAATTCACTAAATTGACCGTAGTGTATATGTGTGTATGGATGTTTCCCAGTACTGAGCTGCAGCTGGAAGGGCATCAGCTGTGCAAAACATATGCTGGATAAGATGGGGGTTCATTCCCCTGATAAATAAAGGGACTAAGTCGAAGGAAAATGAATGAACGAAAGAGTAAGAACAAGAAACCCAGCATTTTTTCTGCACAGAAAAAAAAGTCATAATGCTGTCAACTGGCCCCAAACACTGGCCATTAGCTCATCCTTTCTCTTCATGGTGTAACAGATGTCATCTCCCTGCTTAAAAGGTACACATATATGAACTGCTCATAATAAACTGCATACAGATTGACCAATAAGGAAAGTGAAGTCTCATCAGTGGTACAGCTACCTCTGACATCAAAGACTGACCTCTGCTGGACATGAGCCCTCAACAGGCAAAACAAATGCAATTGTGCACTAAAAAGAAGTCAGGTTGCTTGACGATTCACATTAAGCTTGCATCATCAGACCCGTTTAGCATCAAAACAAAGAAATCTGCATCTGACAGGACGACCTTCTCAAATCTGCCCAGCACACACATTCACTAAAGCTGCAGGATGAGGGGTTTGTTTTCTGCAGGAAAGTGCAAAGCGAGCTCGTGTTGGCTTCATGTTTTGTGGCAGTGACTTACTTCTGCATGACGTTCTGCAGGCTCAGCATCATTCCCAGCTCGCCCTTCATCTTCTCCCGGTTGGCACGGCATTCTGCCAGGTAACGCACCGCCTGTAGGACACAAAGCCATTCAGGGTCATGCAGGGCCATTACAGAGACACACCGCTGAGATAACAAAGCTGATAAATGAACCTTAAGAATTACTCGGTCAGAGTTAAAGAGAAAGCGCTGTTCAGATTTTCTCCATATTTTTCCACAGGTTTGAGGGCCTTCTCAAGCATGACTGAAAATCAGGGGTTCAAAACTGAAAGGAACTTTTAAATGAACATTCCAACTTTTTTGAAAATAGGCTCATTGTACAAGCCTTCGCGTAAATAGAGTTTTGCCATTTTTTTATTAATTCACTTTTTTATTATTTAAAGAACATTTATCTTAGCTTAGCATAAATCATTGAATCAGATTAGACCATTAGCATCTCATTCAAAATGATCAAAGTCTTTAAGTAAGCAGTAAAGGTCTAATCTCTAAATTAATCAGTTTTTTTTGCCAATTTACATTCATTTCCATTTGACAGTCTCTGCACCAGCTGGTCTGTGGACCTTAATAGTGAAACAAACCAAGATGCATGGAAAGCAGTTCTGGATAGGGTTTATTCCTCATCAATATGCACGCCACTGCCTCATTGAGTGTAAAGTGGTTTACCGAGTAAACTGGTCGAAATGTAGACTCGCACAGATCGACCCAACTATTGATTCAGAGTGTGATAGGTGTCATTCAGCTTTAGGAACTCGTATGTTAAGGACATGCCCAGCTGTTTCCTCATTTTATGATTCATTATTTCTCTCTCTTTCAGCAATTACTTCTATAGATATACCACCATCATCTATTATTGGCCTCTTAATTATACATGCCTGATAATTATACACGAGCCATTTTTTAAAGTTTGCAGCCATCCTAATTTTCCTTGATAGGTGTGTATTTTTATTAAACTGGAAAAACCTTCAGCCACCCTTGCATGTACAGTGGCTAAAAAATGTTTTGTATTTTGTGAAACTAGAGAAGATTAGATACTTCCTTCAAAGACATAACAGAACATTTGTCAAAATTTGGAATGCCTGGAATAGCTGGATCTAGACTGATCACCCTTGCTTGCTCTTGACAATAATAATACATCAGTTTGTAATCTTTCATTACTCGATTGTAACATTGAGATTGTTGCATAAATGTAGACATCTGCCCTGCATTATTTGTGTTATTTAGTTTTATTTTATTTTATTTTATTTTTTCATGCATTTAATAATTTTTTAAAATTATTATTTCGATAAGGGTTGTTTGATATGTTTGTAAAAATGTAAACTAAATCATGAGCAAAGAGTTTTGCTAATTTTCCTTTTTACAGCTTGACTCTTCTGTAGTTACATTGTGTACTAAGAAATGATACAGCAGGCACAATGATATTAAATATGGCCCAGTAAATCATCAATATAACCATGGTCACATTGAAAGTTGCATGAGCTGGGGTCTATTTTCAAGCGCTGTAACATTGCGCCTGTTGCAGCCATGGTAAGGCAGGGAATAATTAACAAACTCATTCATTCATTTTCTTTTCGGCTTAGTCCCTTTATCAATTTAGGGTCGCCACAGCGGAACGAACCCCCAACTTATCCAGCATATGTTTTACGCAGCGGATGCCCTTCCAGCCGCAACCCATCTCTGGGAAACATCCATACACACTCATTCACATACATACACTACAGACAATTTAGCCTATACCAATTCACATGTACCACATGTCTTTGGACTGTGGGGTAAACCAGAGCACCTGGAGGAAATAAAAGTATTGTTTCTAGACATACAGGCCAAGTAAATAGCAACTTTTCATTTTATAGATTCACATTGGTCTTAGTATATGGTGTAACTACAGAAGTGTCACCTTTTAAAAATAATAATAAAATGTTTGGTCATTTTTAAATGAGATGCTAATGGTCTAATCTGATTCAATGATCTATGCTAAGCTAAGCTAAAAGTGCTCCTGCCAGACCGGGAGATCGGCTGAATGGATTCAAAAATCAATAACTGTTTGAGACATGCTAGAGTAGTTTTTTTAGACTTGTGTTTGTTGAGCATTAGTTAAGACAATGTTAGCACCAGTTAGCTTTAATTGTGAAGAAAAAAAATGGATCATTTGGAGCCTTTGTCATCTAATTTCATCTTCCGGGTTTAAAATAATTTTTGGGGCTGTATTTAATATTAAATAATTTTTGGGGCTGTATCTCCTAAATGTGACAGATGTGGTGGGACAGAAGGAACTTTGGGACATTTATTTTGGTTTTATCCTGTTCTTTATGAGTTTTGGTCCAGCATTATTTATAGTTTTCCAGTGCTTATGAAACCAAAATCAAACTTGACTACAATTTGGCTATTCTAATATAATGGACACCTTTCCATTAGCCCAACAGCAAGCCCTGATGGTTGGCATGGTTACAACTAAAAAGATGATCTTACTTAATTGGAAATCTCCAAAGGCTACCAGTTATAAGAGATGGTTGAATGAGCTGTTTTATGTCATTTAAATGGAACAACCACGTCTTGAAACTTCATATATATATATATATATATATATATATATATATATATATATATATATATATATATATATAAATATATAAAAGAGCCACATATGCATCTCATGATAGACAAAAATAAAGCACACATCAGTCATTACATGGAGAAAATATGAATAGGTCACTAATGAAATGAGGGAATCTGTGACATGAATCATGTACTGTGGTCACCTTCATAAAACTTTGCAAAGAAACCTTCCTAAAAACTGAACGCAGTGATCTCAACTTTTGTGTCGAATGTAATGTATGCACGTTTCCACCCCATTTTGTGCATATGTCTTGTTTATAAATGAGACCCCAGATGTCTTTGTGTTGAAGAGGAAGAGGAAACACTTTACCATTCCTGTGTCTCTTTGACTAAGCTGTGACAGTATTGGACAGCAGGTGGCAGTCATGTGAACTGTTTGGACAGATGCATGGAGATTGAGTGATCGTTGAATTACGTGCAGGAAATGATGCAGATAATAACAATAATAATAATAACAATAACAACAACTTTAAAAATGTATTTAAGCCAATAACATCCCAATGACAAACCAACTGCTCATAATTTGCAACTGCTTATATTTGTAATTTGTAAAAATAAAATACATAAGCAAGAATATCACTACTACTACTTCTACTACTACAACAACTAATAATAATAATAATAATAATAATAATAATAATAATGATAATAATAATAATAAGAGAAAACCTTTATTATAATATTGAATATAGATTTATATATTAATAATAATTGTCAATTGCAAAATAAAACTAATATCATCAAAATGGCAAAAAAGAATTTTTACAGCGTTTTCAATTATAGAATTAGTTAGGAAAATACTCTAATATCAAAATATTTTGTAATATTATTACATTAATTGTTAATAATAATAATAATAATAATAATAATAATAATAATAATAATAATAATAGTAATAATAATAATAGTAATAATAATAACAATGCTTTTATTAATCACATAATAGCAATAATAGTAATAAAATTAAACCTATTGTATAACTCAGCATCTATTAATTTATTTACAAATATAGTATTGTTATTATAATACAATATTTCATTTAAAAGGCATAATAAAAAAAATTCAAACGACTATTAATACACTTCCTAAATACAAAAGCCACCTAATATCATTCGAAAAGGAATAATTTATCATACAGTACAATTTATCATTTTATAATACAGAATTTCTATAAAAAAAATATTATAACTTGTGAATTTACATTTCAGGATATGCACAAGTCTTGAATGACCAGTTCAACTCATCTGTTTTTAAGATAAGTTTACTTTTAGTACTGGGTTCACCTCAAACATTTTTACTGCAATTATTAATCATATTTAATAATAGTTAAAAACATTATCAACAATCACTATTTTACCTAATACCTTTATTATTATTATTATTATTATTATTATTATTAACATCATCATCATTATTTGTAAATATAGCAGGTTGCAGTCATGCGAGTTATCTAGCCAGCCATCTGAGTGAGATGTGAGTGCTGTGATTGACTGATACAAATACTTTGAAATAAAATAAGTGACTTCTCAGAAGCATCTTAACAATTTTGTTAGCACAATACTGACATACCAAAAATATGTAACAACACAGCAAAACCTTCATGTTGGAACAACATCATCATGTTCCCGATTTTAACCTTTATATACTCTTAGGGCTGGGCGGTATGGGCAAAAAATAATCATATCTCCGTATTTTTAGGAAGAATGCCGGTATACGATATATATCCGGTATTTTCCCATAAATGGTTACTTAAGAGTAAAAGCCTTTATTAAAACTTTATTAAACGGTTCTTGAGCAAAATATAATTCAAACACAGGGGTTTCCCTCCCTGTTATTATACTCATTATAATCATCATTTTTATATTGTTATTTGTTGAAAGAGTAGCTAACAGCGAGATATTAAAATAGAAAAATAAATGTTTGGTAGACAAATGTATGTTTTTTTTATTTTACTTTTTTTTCTTTTTTAAGTTTTAATAATCGGTTAAAACCCCCAACTGTTTGTACACTAGGTGCACACACACAAATCAAATCATGTCTTCCAGTTAAGGGGCTAAATTAAATAAATCAATTAAACTGAATAATAAATAAATAAATAAATAAAAATAAATACAATGACTAGAATATTATTGGAATCGAAGTCAATATGCAATAACAGACCAAAACGCAGAGCTAAATGTGTTATAACGTAAATGTAAAGAAGAGAGCGTCGTGTAATAAATACTGAACATGAGGTGGTTTCACTTTCAAAATGCAGTATAAATCCGTCCCATTTTGGCGTTTTAATTCTGTTGAACACATTCAGGTGCTGCTCGTCAATTTGACAAGGCTTCTATATTCGTTCGTGCTGTCAACTGCAGAAGAAATGATCGATAAAAGGCAATAAAATGACAGCTGTAGGCACTGTGCGACGCATGTGCACGCAAGGGGGAGTCAGATTTTAAACAACATCGGCACTGCATGTTCCTCAATGTCAAGACAGTGATTGGTCGTTCTTGAATGATTCGTTCGTTCATTTTTAACAAATCTTTTGTATGACTCAGGGAGTGAATCATTCATTTGCGCATGCGCTCATTTGTGCAAGTGGAGCTCACGTGCTACCTTGTAGAGCTCTGTTTCGCACAGAATGCGCACGTGTGGACTCAAACCATATCGAATGAAAGACATTGGATAATCCTGCATCGTGTTGGGGAATCATATTGATATATCTCCAGAACTCAATATAACGCCCAGCCCTATATACTCTTAAACATATTAGCACACACAAGTCAGGAATCTGTGCAAGTGTGTGGATGTTTCCCAGTGTCAGGTTGCAGCTTTAAGGGTATACGCTGCATAAACAAAGCTTTGTTTGCCAAACAAAGTTGGCGGCTCATTCCACTGTGGCAACCCCTGCTTAATAAAGGGACTAAGCCAAAAAGTAAATGAATGAATGAATGAATAAATGAATGAATGTTAATTGCAAGTACAGAAGTCAACATTTAAAGTGGATAAAAAAAGATTATCCTAAAAAATTGTTCTAAGACAAGAACAGGTGTTTTTAATAGTTTAAGAACTTTAGACTAATTAAAAGTTGATTCAAATAAAATTTCAACTACTGTAGGTTTTTTTTTTTTGCAAAACCTTTTTGTTTCTGGGATTGTGACCTCACAAACGCTACATTTGCATAAACCACGCCCCCCGGTGAGACATTTACTTCATTGTGCCCTAGGTGGATAGCTAAGCAGAACACCCTGAGCCAACTAACCAATTACATTTTTCTGAGGAAGGGGCTTCATAAAACCAAAAATTTTAATCAATTTACACCCCATAAGCATAAGGATGTCTTGAAAAATAGCTGATTGACCACCCATTTAACAGCAAATAGACCTTACCAAGAGTGCGGAGTAGACGACTTGAGGATTGGGATGGTCGAGAAAGAGGATGAGGCCGGAGAAGCAGCCCTGATCTTCAACTATAACTCTCCTGTTGAGGGGGTCGGCAGCTAAGTCCCTCAGCTGATTCACCACAGCCAAGGCATCAGGCTCCCCGCTCATGCTGCTCCCACTCCAAGGGCCATGCACAGAAAACACACCGCTCCAAGCTGAGGTAGATAAAAAATATTAATATTATAAAACAGCTTGATTTATTTCTGTAAACAAGAAGAGTTTTCATTCATGACAGATCACACATTAAAATCTGTCTTAAAAAATACAAGTTAGTATAAACTGGTTTGCCTGAAGCATTCATATGATGTGGTTTTTTCGATGAAGATAATAATAATAATGATGATAAACATATTTTTAATGAAAGCCTTAAAATCAAATGTCTGATAATGGTGATATTAGAAATAATAGCAATAAACTGGATTGCTTTAAAATTAGGATTATATATAAATATATTGGAAAAAGATAATAAAGTACAAATATATACTCTTTCATTGTTGTCATATGTACACTATAGGGTGGGGCGATTAATTGAAAAGTAATCAAAATCGACCTTCAGAACCTATAATCAATCTAATTTTTCCTGGTCAATATTTTCAATTACTTTTCATAGTAATTTTTAGATTGTTCTTTTTAGGCAGTGTGTGTTTTAATTTTAGCTGTTCAACACTTTTTTTTAATAAATATTTATAGTTAGTAGTGCATGTTTCCTTCAGTTAATAAGTAATGCACCCTTCATTTAAAATAGCATATTTACTGACATTAATTGAACATGTGATTTCCAAATCAGCCCAAATCGGCAAGCCCTAGCGCACTAGCAGTCATGTTTTTCCATATCTTCAGTTTTTATGAAGCGTTCAGGCAATACATTTTGAAAACAGTTTTTGCAGCTTAAATCAATTTAAAAACATTGCAATATAAACAAAATTATATATGTATTCACAGGATTTATCTAACTCCAGTTCGCCTCCATAGAATATTTCCCAATTGTTCTCAGTTATGTTTCAAATGTAAGATAAACATTGGCACAGTGATGCATGTATTTTGCTATGTGACAAAATCAAAATGTACAGGAAAGAGATTCACAAAATTATTTTTTTTAAAATGGAAAAACGTTTGCTTTGCCCCCCCCAAAGATTTACCTTCTGAATTAAGTACAGTGAAGTACAGTGGAGATGTGTCTTGATTGTAATGTAGAATGTGTATTTGATTTTTGCATATACTTGGCCAAAAAATGTATATTAATATTATTAATATTATTATTATTATTGTCAACTGCTCAAATACCTTCAGTCAATATGTGGCCTAGTCAGGCGAGCACACTTCTAACACACTGTTAATCCAAACAGTCAACTTTATCAAATGAAATGACGAGTGTAGTTATCTCAAAATTGACTGGAAATTAATTCTACTTACTTGAAAGGAGTTTTGAACTCAACTTTGAAGGCAATGAGTTAATCAAATACCTCATTACTTAAATGGAGTAAATTCACAGTACTCAGACTAGTTTAACTTAAATGGTTTGTTGCAATGGGTTTGCTTAAACGGTGTGAGTTGTCTTAACTTATTGGGTTTTACAGTACTCGGTTGGTTTGAATTCTCTTCATTTATTGGGTTTTACTGTGCTCAAATTGCTTCATTTACCTAAATGGATTAAGTTCACAGTATTCATTATGATTAGTTTTTTTAACTTAAATGGTTTGTTGCAATTGGTTTCCTCAAACAGTTTGAGTTACCATAACTTTATGGGTTTTACAGTGCACTAAAAAAAATTACCTACGATTAACATCAGAGTTCTGAGGTGTTCTGCCGCATTTGTTCCTCCCTCTGGAATTTTCTTGAGGGCACACAGTGACTCTGTCTTTCTAAATTTGGTTTTATAATTTAATTTTATTTCTGGCTTTACTTTCAAACATTTGTATGCATTTGAATGTCGAACATAAATTGCTGTGCTTGTTGTCATGAGATACCACTACCACTGTTGCGATGTTGAAAATAATTCTTAAAATAAATAAATAAATAAATAAGCGCTAACTTTTTTCAGGATTCTGTGATGATAGAAAGTTGAATAACAGCCTTCTAAAGAAATATAGTTTTTAGTAACATTATAAATTATTTACTGTCATTTTACCCAATTTAATGTCATTAAAATATGCAATTTTTAAAAAGTTTTTTTAAGTGCAACTTGTCATTATTTTACCATTTAGACAATTCATTACATTACACTAATAATTAAATACACATTGTCAACAAAATCTCTCACTGCTCGTCCAAAAACATTAACCAACACAAAACTGATATTAACTAAAGTGCTCATGACATTAAAATGAGTTCTGAAAGATCACGTGACATTGAAGTCTGGAGCAAAGATTAAATTAAGCTTTATCATCATAAGTATAAATGACATGTCATTATATAAAAAATAAAATGACAATTGCAGTATTTCACAAATTTACTTTTACATATTTAAAAAAGTGCATCATTACGTACAACAGAACTTTAACAACACTAAACATTTGACTTTATCGCCAATATTTTTGCTTGACGTCATTAATCAACACACATTTGTTTTCGTGCGTCCTTTCCAATCGATTGACCGCTGATCTTTAAACACGTGGCTTGTTATTGGCTTTGCTGGTGAACTGAGTGACCCATAATGGTCATGATGTCTGATTCACCCAGTACAACACAGCTAAGCGAGGCCTTTAAACGGGCCTGTGCTGCTAACCGGCTAACATTAACACGGCATCATCAAGACAATGACAATCCGAGCTTCCATACGAGACACAATTAAGACTATAAAAACAAACTTTGGCGTTCGTTCCCCATTCATATTTAGACCACAAAACATCAATACACGTGAATATTATTGTATTTCTATGAACAATAACAATGCTATAAGACAGAAAGAGAATGTATTATCTGTTTCCATCAGAACACACGTAAATATGTGCTATCGTCTGCTAGTAAATGTTTAGTCGGTGTGTTTAGGTTTGAAGTGATTGTCTCTATCTAGTTAACCTTGTGTGTGTTGTGACAGTGAGTGTTGTCCACGCATAACCTTACAGCAAACACGCCCAGGACGCTCCTCGCTTCGGATGATTCCTGTCCAGTTGCTGGATCCAAAACCACCGACAAATCAACTGCTGACGGAAACCAGACTGGATATGAGGACGACAGTAAACGAAGTTAAAATTGTGTGTGACCAACTGTTCTGGTCCGGTTTATTTGGCCATTATCTGCGGAGCTTTTTTAGCAGACCGTGTAACACTTCCTGAATTTAGACCAGCTGATTGGAGGAGGTGAGGTATGACGTCGTGCGGTTTTACCTAATCAGAAGGGGTTTTACTAAAGTATACATTATTTTTCATTATAAAGCTAAAAATAAGAATAGCATGGGTATATATATATATATATATATATATATATATATATATATATATATAATAAAAAAGTATAATGCATTTGTATTATTTAATATGAAAAATTAACGATACACAATATGTGAAAAATACAGTACTACACAATGCTACAATGCGTAAAAATATTGTACTGTTAGATGCATATAGATGAATGCTTATATTATTTTAGTACTATTTTAATCAAATAAATATGTATATTTGCAATAGATTCAATACATTAAAAAATAAGTATATATGCTTGTCATTTCATTCATTTCTTCATTTATTTTCTTTTCCACTTATATACATATTAAGTCATAGTATTAGTCGTAATATTAGTTGTATAATCTTTTATTAGTCGTATTAGTATTAGTTAGTAATATTAGTTCATATTCTTTTCAACAATAGATACAATGCATTAAAATAATAAGTATATATGCCTGTCATTTCATTAATTTCTTAATTCATTTTCTTTTCAGCTTAGTCTCTTTATTAATCTAGGGTCGCCACAGCAGAATGAACCGCCAACTTCCAGCATATGTTTTTAGACAGCAGATGCCCATCCAGCCGCGACCCATCACTAGGAAACATCCACACCTACTCATTCACACACACACTACGGACAATTTTAGCATACCCATTTCACCTGTACCACGTCTTTGAACTTGTGGGGGGAAACCCACGCAAACACAGGGAGAACATGCAAGCTCCACACAGAAATGCCAACTGACTCAGCCGAGACTCGAACCAGCAACCTTCTTGCTGTGAGGGGAACATGCTACCCACTGCGCCACCGCGTCGCCTGCCTGTCATTTCATTTTGTCATTAAATTTAATGACATAACATTTTGTTTATTCATTCATTCCTTCATTTTCTTGTCGGCTTAGTCTCTTTATTAATCCGATGTCGCCACAGCGAAATGAACCGCCAACTTATCCAGCACGTTTTTACGTAGCGGATGCCCTTCCAGCCGCAACCCATCTCTGGGAAACATCCACACATACACATACACGCACATACACTACGGACAATTTAGCCTTCCCAATTCACCTGTACCGCATGTCTTTGGACTGTGGGGGAAACCGGAGCACCCGGAGGAAACCCACGTGAACGTAGGGAGAACATGCAAACTCCACACAAAAACACCAACTGAACCGAGGTTCAAACCAGTGACCCAGCAGCCTTCTTGCTGTGAGGCGACAGCACTACCTACTGCACCACTGCTTCGCCCAACATTTTGTTTAGTTATATCTAATTCTGGTTAATCAAGTTTAGCAAATTAGAACTAATAGTTTTCTAAATAAATGGCTGCTTTTATTTGTATTATATAAAATAAATAAATGTTGCAAATGAATAGTATAATACATAAAATCTATTACAAATTTATTAATATTAATTTTAAAGTAATACATTTATTAATAATTTATTTATAACAAATCTTAAAGTTTCTTTTTATGGTTATTGTGCTCTCAGGTGTACTAGTTTATTTATTATAATTTATATAATATTACACTTATTTAATTTCAGATTTGGTGTGTGTGTGTGTGTGTGTATGTGTGTGTGTGTGTGTGTGTGTGTGTATTTATCTGCATATAGTCTTATTTAATGCATTTTTACGTGTCATTTCCATTTAATATTTTTTGTATTGTAGGAGTAACAAATAAAAAGCATCTGACAAGAGTGGGCGACGCAGTGGCACAGTAGGTAGTGCTGTCGCCTCACAGCAAGAAGCTTGCTGGTTCGAGTCTCGGCTGGGTCAGTTGACGTTTCTTTGTGGAGTTTGTATGTTCTCCCCGCGTTCTCGTGGGTTTCCTCCGGGTGCTCTGGTTTCCTTCACAGTCCAAAGACAGGTGCATTGGGTAGGCTAAATTGTCTGTACTGTATAAGTGTGAATGAGTGTCTATGAATGTTTCCCAGAGATGAATAAATGATACATATGCTGGATAAGTTGGCAGTTCATTCCGCTGTGGCCACCACGGATTAATAAAGGGAATAAATGAATGAATGAAGCAAACAAGTAAAAAAAAAATACTATATATGTGTGTGTTTATTGGACATTAGTAAAACGCATTTGCTTTATATTATAAAACGAAGGCAATTTAAGTAGACAGAACAAAAAGGCAGGTGTTTTCTCTTTAAACTGAAGACAAATAATTATAAAAATTACAGTTATTGAGCGAAACGACACTGACATCTGAACAAACAGGCGAAAAACATTCTCCCAGATAAACCACTTATATTCACACAATTCATACACAACAACAAACGATACATCATCACATCAATAAAGTACATGTGTGATACTTTTTGAAATATAATCTTTTATAAAGTTATTCAAAAACAAATCCACACATGAAAGAATTCAGTCAGTTACACCTACGCATGCCTAGTATATGTGAGTCATACTATGCTCTGATTGGCCAGCTGAGTTGCCTATCCACCATTCTTAACCAGTCATTTTCTCGATAATTCTAGGACCCACCCATTTATGGAAAACCTCAGATTTCATTGGCCAATTCTAAAAATCCAGCCCTCTTTTCCAAGCGACTGCTCCCGAACTGTGGAAAAACACACGGAATACCGCTGGTCTGGATGGCATTAGCATAGCACAGCAAGGACTTATAGAAAATTGTGTTACGCTACAGTTTACACGGTAAGACATTGATTTGCCCTATTAGGTATATTATAACCAACCAAAAGGGCATTTATTGCAACACTGAAACGATGACGCCTAGGCCTTATGCATTGTAAATTAAGTTTGTAGAAAGTTACTCGTTCGTTGTTTGTCTGACATGTCTGACATTCATGTGCTTCAGTGAGAAACAACTAGAAAAATGTGTAGTACCTCAGTGTTTTCTGGCAGATTTCAGTGTCAACAACATCACTATAAACAATGGATGTTTGTCACAAAGTTACTGTTTAGGAAACTGGGAATGGAGTTATGTGAAAAAATGTGAGAGTGACTAATAATCATACGATTTTATGTTAAAACCCACTTTACATGATAGTATTAGTTAAAAATAAAATGTGAAGTTATATAATATCATCAAGATTGGGTTCTAACACAATTTTTTTAGGTTTTGATCTGAAGATGATTATTTATGACAAGCCATATCTATGACTGAAGATACTTCAATCTCAGGATGAGCAGAAACCATAGACGGATTGAAATGGACCTGGTAAATTCATACACATACTTATTTCAGAATATTCAATTCTTTGATGAAATGTATGATCATATTTGTGTCACTCTTAGGCTGTAGGTTCATCATCAAAGCATTATGGGTCATCCAGAAGTATTGTCAGAAGAATTGCCACAAATCTTCCACTGGCGCCTTGTCCTCGTGTACATTTTCAGGTAATAGAAGCTAAATTATTTTATGATTTAAATATATAGATTACAACAGGCTATTAAACCATGTTTGTGCTCTAAACACTCATATATTTGTAATTATTTTGATAGCCTTAGGTGGTCTGTTCATTTTATTCCATTATTATAACCATATTCATTGCAATTTTATTTGTACCTAAAAACTTTTAACACCTTCCATCTCTCAAGGGGTAGTTCACCCAAAACCAAAATATTGTTCAAAGTGGCGTCTCGCAATTTAGTTCTTAAAGTGTTTCGGTGCCTTCATACCTTCCATTAACTTTCATTTCCAGTTCCACATATCCTCATTTCTGTCCTCTTCTGTTTTGATTACATTAGTGTGCTGACCATAAACACTCATGAATCACGGGATGGGTTTCAGCTCGTATCTAATCCAACCTTTTCCTTCAGTCTAACCTTTACAATGAAAGTATGATGTCTTTAAATCCACCTTGAAACTTTTATTTCTGTCTGTTTTCTCTTCTCTGCCCTTCCTTCCAGCTGTCCTGTATGTCAGGAATGCAGCATGTCTGCTTTAGGTCAGTTCTCCGGTTCATTTTTGAAAAATGTTGGCCAAAACCGCTTTAAAATAAAAGCTTATAGTCAATATTTTTAATAAATAAAGCTTGCCATTAATTATGTACAATTTATAAAAAGCTGATTGACATTGTAATGTTCTAAATGTTTATGTCATTAAACACTAGATGAACATTTAAACTGGTTTTCCTGGTGATATTTACGTTACAGTGGCTGTGAAAACATATGCTGCTTGCTCTGTTGTTGTAGTTGTTGAAATGCTTCCAGTGTTTGTGTGTGTGTTTGTCTTTAGACTTGTAAAGTGCCCTAAAGGCAGGTGTTGTAATTATTAACTGTCCTTTTAACTGTCTTCGGGTCGCGTAGCTTCATCCGTTCGCTTCAGGAGCGAGTTTCCTCAACAGCCCAAATGGGCCAAACGTGGCCACGCTCGCTGACGTTGCCTGGATCGACAGAGAAGAGAGCGATGGTCCTGGGAGAATCAGGTGAAAAACATTTCAAAGTTCTAAAACATAAATGTGGATGTGAAGTTGGTATCATGTTTGTATCTGTATGTTTTACAGGTGTGAGGCAGATTCAGGTTTGGTTTTTCGCACCCAGGAACGGCGGCCCCTGAGACGTCAGCGGTCATTACCCAGCCTTCACCAGGTTGAACCTGCGCAACAGAGCCAGACTGTTATCAATGATGAAGCTATTCAGAAGATCAGCGTTCTGGAGACGGAGCTGGCCAAACTAAGAGCGCAAATCGCACAGATTGTCCAGGCACAGGAGCAAAGTGCTCAGTCCACAGGTTAGCTGCCGTGTTACTTTACTATTGTTAATATTACAGCATTGATACATTTTTTATTTCTAGTTTTAGTGCTTTTAAAATTATTTCGATAATGATTTTCTAAAATTAACCATTGTTTCTTTTGCTCTGTATATATGACAAGTTAACGCTTAAGAAAACATACACTTCATTTAACATGGACTCATAGACATCGACTATATACTATATAACTGCAGGTTAACTATGTTTATATATATATATATATATATATATATAAACTGATAAAAGCTATTAGTTACTAGATAATTAGTTTTAGTTTATTTAGTTTACTAGTTAAGAGTTTTTAGTAACTAATAACTTTAAACTTTCAGAATTTGACTGTTCTTAATAATACAGTAATGTGCACCTTTTGTAAAGCTGCTTTGAAACAAGTATTGTGAGAAGCGCTATACAAATAAACTTGAATTTAATAAAAAAAAAAAAACATTTTAAATGTGTCAGTCCAAAATTTGTGACATTTCACAAATTTTGTGAGACTTGCTAGAAGGTGGCACCCACTTCCGAATCATCATTTTAACACCACATGCAATTGTGAAATATATAAACTTCCAATTGTGTTGCATTACATTCTGAAAAAGTAAGCTAGTTTAAACAGTTGCAGGTTTTAAACTAAGAATTTTCAGGCTTATATCTCAATTCTAAGAAAAGTAGAAATGCAGGTGGAAATGTGGGTTTATATCCAACTCTTGACTATTTTTCATGTAATTCTGTATTTTTCTCAATTATAAGCACGTTTATCTCACAGTACGGTCTTAATAGATAGCAAATGTGAGTTTGTAGCATGCAGTTTTAAAGAAAAAAGGTCAGATTGTTTGTGCAAATGTAAATTGCAATTGTGAGTAGAAAAATAAATATCTTTTTCCTCTTTTTTTTTTTTTTTTTTTTTTTTTAAGGTCGAAATGGGATTTCATTGTATAATGTTGTGCAAGTATAAATTCCATGGTTATGAAATTCATAAATAATGAAGCAATTTGCATGATGAAACTCAGAAATATTATTAAACTTGAATGGAGCCGACTTAATTAATTAATTTTTTTGCATGATTATTAAACAACAAGCACAAACTATTCTATAGCGACTCACTCGTTTTCATTTACTCCAACTATTAGTGAACCAATTGTGGAGATGGTTTCACCTTTAACCTGCAGTCACTCAGATGCATGAGAATGCATCAAACCAAAAATGCAAGCTCATGCAACAAGTTTCGCAGTTCGCTGCGGTGCAGAGTTTAAGCTCGGTGAACTCTGACCTGCGAAATCGCATCTAGTGACTCCGTAGGACCAATCAAAGATCAAAACATGACCACTCTGGACATAAATGTATTATATGGACCAATCGCTTGCTTTTTAATCATCTAATCATCTTGTTGAATCCCATCCCTTTCCGCAGCGCAGTACGACAGAATTTCGCATTGCTCAAACTCTAGTGTGACCTCAGCATCAGTCATGCACAATGTGTGCTTGCGTATTTAAAAAAAATACTGGTCTCAAAATTATATTTAATTTCTAAATGCATGGATCAGGGTTCAAACTCGATCCTGGCAAGCCGGTGTCTTGCAGTTTAGCACCAACTTGCTTCAACACATCTAGTTTATCTAGTAAGAGCTTGATTAGCTGTTTCAGATGTACTTGATTAGCATTGGAGCTAAACTCTTCAGGACACCGGCTATCCAGGACAGAGTTTGGACACCCCTGGTATAGATTTAAAAAATGATATAGCAATTTACAAATATTTACATTGATATCAGTAGTTTTTACTGCTAAAATTACTATTTTGTAATTTTTTCAGCTCCAGCACCAGGTGGTCCTCCTGTACCTCCACCAATGGTTCCAGTTCCTCCTCCACCACCACCACCTCCTCCGTGTCCCACTCCCAGCATGCAGAGAAGCTATTCCGCCATTGACCTCATTCGAGAGCGGCGTGGAAAAAAGGCTGAGCAGAACACTGTACTGGACTCGGCCCCCAAAAAGCCAGAGCTTCCCAACATGCTTGATGTGCTGAAAGATATGGGCAAAGTCAAGCTGCGCTCAGTTAAGAGGCAAGTGTGTTTCTGTGGATTATGAAAACAAGGCTTCTTTTTAACACTTACCAAATAAGTGTTCATTTATTCTTTCCTTCACAGCCATCAAGAGGATGGAAATGTGAAAGCCAAACCTGTTGAACCCACAGATGCAGCGGCAATGATCGCAGAAGCCCTGAAACGCAAGTTTGCTCACCGATATCGAAATGACAGCGAATGTGATGGCACTTTTACCTTCACTGCTTTTGAGAATAAACCCCATGTGGAAACACCGCTGGTAGGTGAAGTCACTTTTAAAAATCGTATCTGATGTATATTGTCTTATTGCAGTATAATTATCTTTTGCAGTTTGGACAGCACATGCTGAAGTCGACTGGAAGGAGGAAAATGCATTAGGATGGAGTTACTCATCTTAATGGGTAAAAACCTGACGACTCTTCATTTTGAAACACCGGCTAACTTTTTCTGTTAGCTCTTAAAATAATGTTTGTGAACATGCCAAACGCTACACTGTCGATCTGGTTTCTCAATTGAACATCTTTGTATTTTTTGCACTTTAAATAGTACAATACCAGTACATCTCGTACCACAGCCAGTTCCATCATTAACGCCAGTTCCATAATTGTTGGGTTTTATGATATTATGTTTGTGGTTTTAGTTGGATTTAAGCTCAAAAGTGCAGGTATTTGACCCTCTTTTCTGAAGGGATGATGCTGAACGAGAGCACCAGAGTTTTAAATCAGTCATTTTGTGTGTATTTTAACACTTGTTTGTACGATTCATAGCTGCTGGAAAATCACTTTATTTTAACATCAGCCTTTTTATAATGTTGTGAACATAAATAGTGCATAGATGGTGCTTTCAGTGGTATTTGCTGACTACTGTCGAGAGCTAATTTAAAAAGCCTTTTTTTAGGTTGTAATTTATTATTTGGCAACATTTCTATTATGTGGTTTAAACCCGTTTAGCAAATCACTTGAATAATGTAGTTTTGTGTCATTTGAAATACTATCTAACATATTTAAGGCTGCTAAAGTCTGTTGTTTTTTAAAGGGATAGTTCACCCAAAATTGAAAATATGCTGTTTAAATCATTTAGTCTCAGGCTGTAGGCAAATTGGTTTCTTCAGTAAAACATTAAATATGATTTTTAGCTGAAAATGAGGTCGCAGGTCATTGTCTACCAAAACTTGAGTCAAAAAGCATATAGAGGGAAAACCAAACTGTGGCTCCTGATTCATTTATGAGACTGCATAAGTGATGGATCCTGCATTTTATAAATCACCAAGCCCATTGATTTCAGCTAATAGTCATTTTTATCGTTCTACTAAAGAAAATAAGTCACAAGGCTAACTGTGTTAAAAGCAATTTCTTTTTGTTGTTGTTGCTTGTGAACTTTCTGTTGATGGTGTGACAGTGTTTGTACCTTTTAAAGGTTTGTTCTTTTGCACATTGTGCAGCAGAAGCATTATATTGCAATATAGGATTTCTCATTTCAACAGTGTATACTGGAACTAATGGCCAGCATGTAGAAGCATTACCTCAGAATAAAAGGTACACTACCGGTCAAGGTTGGGGTCAGTTTTTTTTTTTTTTTTTTTTTAAGAAAATTATTCTGTTCATCAACATGGCATTTATTAAACATTAAATTTGTTCATTTTAAATAACTGCTTATTGTATACACTTTCAAATGAAAATATAACTCCAGTCATTATTGCTATTATCAATAATAATAAGTATTATTAGAGTAATTTCGGAAGGATTGTGTGACTCTAAAGCTGAAAATATATCTTTAAAATGACTGGAATAAATGATTAAATTATCTAAACTACTTTTAAACAGTAACTTTATAGTGCAATAACACTTCACAATTTTACAAGTTGTATTTTTGCTGAAATTATTGCAGCTTGGGTGAGCAAGCTAAGTTTATTTCAAAACATTAAAATATCATACTGTCCCCAAAATTGACCAGTAGTGTAATTTTTTTGTATCTCATGAATAGATTTGTTTTGTATTAAATTATGATTAAAATGGGCTGATTTCATTACACTACAGAACCGTTGAATGGACTTTTAATTTGTTGAATAAACCAACTAGTGTAACGAAGTTTGTGTGTTCCATTTGGGCCACAGAACAGCATGAGTTCATGCCATCCGGTAGAGAAACATTTTGTGAAGTTTTATTCATCAAAAATGCAACTGCAACAGGTATGTATCAAAAAGGTTATACGGCAAAGCCTTTACAAAATGGCTTGACACATAGGTCGTCTCCCCAAAATGGCTGTTACAACAAACTGTAAACAGTTTTTTTTTTTTCTTCTTAAATCAACAGTCTTACAGCACTTACAACAAAAATACAAATCACCTAAAATAAAGCACCTCTTCTCTTTTCCCAACATCAAGAGAAGCACAAAAAAAAAACCTGTCCAATTATGTACAGAATCCAAAACGATACACAAAAATGGAATGTTCAATGTTAAAAATCAACTCAATAAACCAAATCTCCTCCATACTAAAACAAAAAAACCCAAAACACTCCACGACAAAAAGGCAAAGGGTCAGACAGTGCACTAAATGGACAATGTGATGAGTTTTAAAATGAAAACGACAGCTGGTTTGGTCACTTAGCTTTGTGCATAGTTTTAAGGCATTGTGTTGCAGTCTTCCGAAGAGACGAGAGTGGCTTCGACACATTCTGAGATCTTTCTTTACAAAATACAGAAGAGAAAGACAGAGAAAAGAGAGAGTGTGGGCTACCTACAAAAGGCACCTTTACTTCCACGTTTCTCCAAAGAAGCAGGTCGGTGAAACCCTGAGCAAAATCCACAGAGAGTCTTGTTGAGCTACACGAGATTCCTTCTTCCATGCTCCAAAGGGTTCATCATCTCTGCCACCTTTCACTGCGCGACGTTCCTTCAAAAACTGGGGGGGGGAAACGGTCTGAAATACAAGAAAGAGATGCAATGGAGAACGAATGGCGGGTTTTCAGTCCGACAGATTTCGTTGATCATCAGCAGTAGGCTTCCAAACAAAAATGTACAAGTGGTTCTTCACATCTGTGCTTCGAAGGCAATAAATCACAGAACTAACATGATTCGTATAGAAAAAAACGACGTGTGTAAACAGTCTTCAGAGGCAGCAAAAGGACTGGGCTCTTCACATTTTGTACACAAGGAGGAAGATTGATTTGCAGAAGCACTAGCGCACACAAACGCACTCGCAATGCATTCACACATCGTCTCTCTTTTTGTTGATGCGGTTGTCTTATAAATACTCAAGGTGACTTTCAGAGCAATTCAATGTTTCGAAATGGCACTTTAAAGCCACAGGAGGGGGGATTCATCCAACCCCATTTTCCCTTACAGTCTTTATTCAAAGCATCATTGAATTAGTAACGCCCAAAAATAAGGTTAAATAAATACATCACAATAATTAAAAGAAGGAAGAAAACAAACGAAAAACTTGCAGCAGTAGCCAAATGAGGTATCTATGTATTGCTGTATGTCGAAGGGGAAATGAGAGAGTTTTAAAACGAAATAAATTAAATCAAATGAAGAGAAGAGGAGAATGATCAGTGGTTGTTTTTTTTGGGGGGGGACGGGCGGCGCTGTGTGTGTTTGGCTGAGGGCAGTGGAGGTGTCATGACTCTGGGCTTCCCTGAGTTAAGGCTCTTGAACTGGGCTCTTCTGAGGATCGAGCTGGATCCGATTCTCCGTCCTCCGAGCTGCCCGACGCTTCGGGCTCCATGGTGCTCCAGCTGGCCTTGTTCAGGCCCAGGTGGCCGAGCATCGTCTGAGAGAGCCGCGTGTCTGAAAAACGAGCCCACTCAGCGAACAGAGGCTCCACTACGTACGTCATGAAACCTGGTGGCAGAGAGAGAATCTTAAATGATTACAAAAGATTTATAAATATGCACACACATCTAATCTACAAACAGTTAAGGGTGAAATTAATTACATATAAAATGTTTATTTATAAAAATATATTCAGGTGCTGTTTGGGAGACATTTTTACTGTATATTAATGTTTAATTTCTTTCAGTTTAGCTTTAGATTTAAAAAGAAAAAAAAAGCATTTTAAGGTCAATAAGACTTTACTACAGATTTTTTTCAATCACTTAGATTGACATTCTCCCTTTGTACATGTCATTAGAGGGGGAAATCTCCACCCCTTAGTGACATTAGGTGCATTCATCATGAAGCACGGCTGCAGCCGGCAATCAACAAGATTAGCTGAGCGCAGGCGGAGTTGAAAACAGAGCAGTCAAGCCGGACACTTCGGTGCTTTAAAGGTTCAGGACACCCCGGAGAACTTTTTTTTTGTATTAACAAGTGTGTGTGTGTTGAGCATCAGTTAAGACAATGTTAGCACCTGTCAGCTTTAATTGTGGGGAAAACTGGATAATTTTGAGCTTTTGTCAGCTAATTTCAGCTTCCGGTTTTAAAATGATTTTTGGGGCGGGATCAAAATCAGCGACGTAGAGCAGAACTGCAAGTGCAATGATGACGCGTCGGTTTCTCATTATTATTCATAGCAGAGTTTTCTTATCCTATGAGAAGAGCCGGCTGCTTAATTATTCATGAGACCTGCCAGTGTCAAGCCCGAGCTGAGAGACACGGAAACCACGGCACAGTATTTAGCCGTTCATGAAGGCTCATATGCGTTTGTTTCCATCATCCACGGGGTTTGTTGCATGTTTTCTCCGCGATCTTGTCAGAGCCGATCATACAGCAAAGCTGTGTGCGTGCTGCTAGCATTTTTGTCCGGAGAGCAGCACGAGAATCAGAGAATGGCGGACGCTGTCTTTCATCAGGAGTTCGTTCACATTCAGACACATCGCCGTGCTGCTGTGTTTGCCTAAATCCTCCAGATTACCAGCAGGGTTAATGGTTAAAATAGACGGGTCAGGAGACCTGCTGCACTGAGTCTGCTGGATACGGGGATTGAGGGAGAAGTCCTCATTTATAGTGTTTACATGAACACACATCTTTATAATGATATAAATTGTTGTTGTCTGTATATGAAATTACAAATAACAAATGTAGCAGGGCATTAAATCACTGTTCATTTCTTTGCATTTTAACTTTGTAAACTATAAACTCATGCGTCTCCTCTTTGTGTCTCATTTTGTGAGCTATAACTGACAACAGCAGTTATTCGCTCCCCTTCTCCCCTGCTGGCCACGCCCACTCCTGCCCGATGCTCGCGGAGCTCCACGCCCATTAATCATGCATCTTTTGAAAAATTTCTGAAGTAGACTTTAACCGAAAGAGGGGGGTGTCATGGCCCTTTAAAGTTGCTGCAATCCTGATGACCGATCACATGGCGTCACCATTTATTTATTTATTGCAATAACAACAAAAGATTTACATTACAAATAAAACAAAATACAGTCTTTACAAACTATAGTTATTTTTAAACAAGGGAATTATGAATTAAATTTAAGTAGCCTATATAACAAACACACAAGAAGGGGAAAACGAGAGGGCACAAAATAAGAATAATATCCATGAATAGGCTTAATAAACAAAACAATAAGCACAAATTTCAGGAGTTGAAACATCACTCTTTAGGCTACTACACGCTGAATGGGATGTCAATACTGTTCCAGTTTTTTGAATATGCTAAAAAGGGGTTTACATTTATATAAAAAACTAAAACAAGGTGTTTTGATTAAATCCTAAACAATGATAATGATTATTTTAGATAATGAAAGCATTTTTAAAAAGCACTTTAATCCGAAAAACATTAAACAAAAGAAGCTAAATAAATGTTCCACACTTTTAAGTAGAAATTTCCCAAAAAGAGCAGCTACATCAATGTCCCTTTTAAAACATCTGCATAAACGGCTTGACAGGAAAAACATTTTTTTTTTTTTAAATCATGTATTTTTAAATTAAATAAAATATTTTTGAACTTAATTTGTTAAGAAATCTTTATGGGGGTGTCAGGATCAATAATGATAATTAGTTTATTACAAGTCTGTAAGACTTATTTGAGTTAATATTCAGGTTATTTACTAAAATATATCACTTATATTGTTTATGGAGCTGAATATAGTAATCTGTGTAAATAGGCAGAATAAACCTATGCAAAAAATCTAGTCATTATGAACAAATTATTCAACAAAAGATGATAAGCGTGATGTGCACAAGGGTATGAAAAGTTTGTTTGTTTCAAAATTTGTGAGATGGAAGTTGTCCAATAATAAACCCGAAAAACACATGGTTGTTGTCATTTTGGTAGTTACAGTCAATTGTGTAATATCGTTGTCATCATCGCTCTCCAGATGCTGCACCGGCTGAATCAATCGTCTGATTTCGGAGCAATGTGGCGGTACTTTGATGCCACATGTGACAGTCATGTGGGGTCTGCGCAGTATCAATCCGGACAAAATTTCTAACCGGCATGCACTGCTTTAGGACAGATTTCGATCGGTCTGTGCAGCACTGAATGAAGTCGAATGCACCGATTCTCTCCCTCATTACTATAGACAGCCCTGAGTGAGAAGCAGCCATCCGCCATTAGAGTTTTCACCTGCTGAAGATAATGTCAGCGACTAATAGGTTTATAGTCTCCATAGACTTCCTTCTTCTGAGATACTTTTCACATTTTCAGTTTTTCACAGAGATTACATTAGTCCTGTTTAAATCTGCCTCTATGCTGATGATGAGAGCTCCGCCCTCTTTTGAAAAGAGCACAATCTCATTTGAATTTACAGCGAGTGCCACCAAAATGACACTGTGGATCAAAGTTTAAAAAAGTTCTAAAACATTATTTGTGTAATATTTTGTGCTGAAACGTCACATACACACTCTAAGGACATCAGAGACTTATTTGACATCTTGCAAAAAGGGGGAAAATAGGTCCCCTGTCATGGAGGAAAGCAATAGAAAAGCAAATATCTAATTGACACTTATAAACAAGGATGTTCTTACCGATTTGAACACTGGCTATGGTGTTGGCTTCACTATCACACAGTGGACTGATTTCAAGTTTAAGCTTCTTCTCAATGTCACCTAAATGAGAAAATGAAAGTATTCTGATGAACTGGACACATAAAATAACATAAAATAGGCATCATCCGCTGATCTGGAGTACCTT